TGCGGACATGTTGTAATATCCTCTGCTAAGGGATGTCAGTTTTGTCCTGTTCTAGACCATCTTTTCTAACCTCAGCTGGTCAGGGCAATTTCCCCAGAGCCAATTCATTTCCTGTTTCAGTTATTTAGGTCATTGTTCCCATGTTATGATTTTTCTTCATAATGACAAAAGAAATAAATAACTCTTACAGATTAAAGAAAAAATACAGGCCAGGTGCAATGGCTCACACCTGTAATCCCAGCACTTTGGAAGGCTGAGCTGGGCGGATCACTTGCAGTCAGAAGTTCGAGACCAGCCTGGCCAACATGGTGAAACCCCGTCTCTACTAAAAATACAAAAATTAGCCGGGCATGGTGGCACACACCTGTGATCCTAGCTACTCTGAAGGCTGAGGCAGAAGAATCGCTTGAACCTGGGAGGCGGAGGTTACAGTGTCACTGCACTCCAGCCTGGGTGACAGAGTGAGACTCCAACTCAAAAAAAAAAAAAAAAGAAAAAAAGAAAAAGAAAAAGAATTTGTCACAAATAAATTTGTAACTATATTAAACAATTACGTAAAAATAAAAAGTGGAATACATAAGGTGATATTGAATTATGCTAAAAATGTATTTGTAATTTAAAATGCAAATTTAGAATTTGAATAAAAGTTCAGTGTAATGGAATATGTTTTTCTAATTCACTTTCCATTTTGTTGTTCAATTTTGTAATTTTAAAATATCAATTTTTTTATCACTTGTTTTACTCAAGTTCCTTGGTGTGTGTGTGATATCAATTACAGTTAGCAATAGTTACAGTTTTGACGAAGAAACAATGGACAGTTTATGAAGTTGTTACTGTCAATTTTTTTCTAAAGCTTGCTACTGCACTCACACACTTATGGGTGGTATTATTTAAGAGTCTTTAATACTCAACAAGTATTAAAAACTGTGAATAGCAAGCCTGACTTTCCTATATAAATGTTTTCATTGGAGAGGTTTGCTTCTCCTCTTTCAGTGTAATAGGAATTCTATCTCCAGGTTTCTTTCTTTTACTTCCATCCAAGAGTTTCAAGTTTACCTGATTCCTACACCCACAAAACCCCCTAGGATGATTTGAAAGGAATGTCTCAACCAAAAAGTATCAAGAAATGTTTATAAACATCATGAAGAGAGTACCTACTCTGTTTTTTACATATTTAATACTCACAATAACTTTACACTGTAGAAATTACAGCCCTCATTTTTCAAAGAAAGGCACACACAACATAACTTAATGAAGGTAAAGAAATGAGCCCAGGGTCACAGCGGTGAGATTCAGATCATTCTGCCTCAGAATGGTTTTATCTACTACTCTTGCTTAAGTCAAGATTTATGTTGTTTCATTTTAAGGCATGGATTTCACAACAATACATTACTAATTTATTTTTAAAAGTGTTATTACTTTTTAATTGAGGTAAAACTGACATACAACTAAATAAACAATTTTTATTTTTTTCCTTGAGACGGAGTGTCGCTCTGTCACCAGGCTGAAGTGCAGTAGTGCGATCGTGGCTCCCTGCAACCTCCGCCTCCTGGGTTCAAGCAATTCTCTTGCCTCAGCCTCCTGAGTAGCTGGGACTACAGGCACGTGCCACCATGCCCAACTAATTTTTATATTTTTAATAGAGATGGGGTTTCACCATGTTGGCCAGGAAGGTCTAGATCTCTTGACCTCGTGATCTGCCCGCCTTGGCCTCCCAAAGTGCTGGGATTACAGGCCTGAGTCACCGTGCCCAGCCAAAATAAACACATTTTAAGTGCTGAATTTTATATTTCTGTACCTGTGTAGCCACCACCTGGATCAAGATACAGATGATTCCAGCATTCCAGAAGTTTCCCCTTATACGCATTCCCAATCAATATCACTTCCCCAAAGACAACCACTATTCTGATGTCTATCACCATAAGTTACTTAAAACGATTTCTGAACTTTGCATAAAGGGGCCCATAAAGTATATAATATCTTGTGTCTGGATTCTTTTGCTCAAGGTATCTTTAAAAAAACTATATTTTAAAAAATGTTAGTTACAACTTATGTTGAATTCAAAGACATTTGATTTACTTTAAAAATGAAAAAAAGTGACTGGGCGCGGTGGCTCATACCTGTAATCTCAGCACTTTGGGAGGCTGAGGCAGGCAGATCACCTAAGGTCAGGAGTTTGAGGCCAGTCTGGCCAACATTGCAAAACCCTGTCTCTACTAAAAAACACAAAAATTAGCTGGGCATGGTGGCGGGCGCCTGTAATCCCAGCTACTCGGGAGGCTGAGGGCGGAGAATCTCTTGAACCTGGAGGCAGAGATTTCAGTGAGCCGAGATCACACCACTGCACTCCAGCCTGGGTGACAGAGTGAGACTCCATCTCAAAACATAAAAAAGTTCATTTAAAATATTTAAATGATTTACATATAAATGTTTAATATTAAAATTTAATCTGTATACTTCAAATTAACATTGCTAGAGGTTACAGAACTGTCTAAACCAAGTTTTGATGAAATATTGTACCACTTACTTCTGAGCACTTAGGTCCTATTTGTGTTTTCACAATCTCTCTCTCTCTCTCTCTCTCTCTCTATATATATATTTTTTTTTTTTTTGAGACGGAGTCTTGCTCTGTTGCCCAGGCTGGAGTGCAGTGACGCGATCTCGGCTCACTGCAAGCTCCGCCTCCTGGGTTTACGCCATTTTCCTGCCTCAGCCTCCCGAGTAGCTGGGACTACAGGCGCCCGCCACCTCGCCCGGCTAATTTTTTGTGTTTTTAGTAGAGACGGGGTTTCACGGTGTTAGCCAGGATGGTTTCGATCTCCTGACCTTGTGATCCGCCCGCCTCGGCCTCCCAAAGTGCTGGGATTACAGGCTTGAGCCACCACGCCCGGCCACAACCAATATATTTTTAAACCCCCCTTATTAATACCAGTTAACTACTAACTATAAACAACATTCTATGATAATGCAAAGAATGCATTTCCTTTGTAAGGAAGCTATTTTTAGATTATAAACTTTTCTTAATTTTTAAGGTTATATAGAAATAAAAGATGCAACTGCATATGTAATTGTGGTTTAATTCCTTGAAAAGACTACTTCCGGCCGGGCGCGGTGGCTCAAGCCTGTAATCCCAGCACTTTGGGAGGCCCAGACGGGCGGATCACGAGGTCAGGAGATCGAGACCATCCTGGTTAACACGGTGAAACCCCGTCTCTACTATAAAATACAAAAAATTAGCCGGGCGAGGTGGCGGG